TGGGAGCTCTGTTATACAGATCATTTTTTTAGCCAAAAAACAATATACTGGCAAAGTAGTCTTGGCTGCCACTTCTCGTGGTGGACATAGGCTGCCAACTAAAACCAAATCCACTAGGGAACAAGTTGGGAAGGATAATGGAGTCACTTTCACCCATGTGATATTTCCGTGTAACATTGTTCGTATATGTATGTAATACCAAATGTAATTCAACATATGTAACATTAAGTATTACGAGAATGTACTAAAGAAATTACGCGTTCATACGAAGAAAAGTGACATTTGTCGGAATGTATGAAAACCCCTAGCTTTTTGCAGTGATCCCAAAATCATGAACATCACCGTGGCACATTTACGTTATAGTGAGAAATTTTTGAGTCACAAGTCAATAATAAAGTGTCAGGGCGTTAGAGGCGTGGTTACTAATTTCTCTAATTAGAAAATTGTTGCATGACTATGTATAAGTTAGTGTTTCATCATATCAATTAGTAATTAATTCGAAGATTTCAACTAAACAACTACTTTATAAGGTGGATTCTATATATAGTGTAAAAACATTACTGGGTCCCAACCATAAAATTTAAACCGATGGTAGATATTGCATAGAGCTGGATAATGGAGAAGAAATGTTAGAAGCGTTATTTCCATTTCAAAAACGTTATCTGATTCCAATATTGACTTTTACAGCGAAATGCCCCCACATAGAAATTCTCATTTTATAATGATAAGATTATGTGTAACAGTAATACTATTTTTTTTTCCCTAAAATATTGTTGATTAGCATAGGTTTAAAAGAAATTTAAGGCTTTTTTGGAAGGTGGGCTCAAACCAAATGGTTTGAATAAGAATTAAAATTTTGTGGGAGAGAGTACTATAACAGAACTTTTTTAAGTTAAAATTTTTTCGTGAGAGAAAATTGTTTGAACCCAAATCAGAGAGGTTTGAACTCATCCTTTAAACACATCCTTAAACTAAGTCAAGATTAAAGAGGAAATAAATAGACAATCATGTAATTGGCGCAAGTCCCATTATTGTAGAGGGTGAAATCTACAATTGATGAAATTAAGGGATATTAATGGCTGAGTTAGGAGTCATCAATTAGAAGGATCTATCCATAACGAAGACGAGCATGTTAGTAAGCATAAAATAAAGTAAAGAAAGAATAAAGACACACAAATTTATAAAGGTTCGCTTTAGTAAGTTCATTATATATGCTGAGAAGCATTACAATGAGTCGATGGAAGAAGAATGCGATGAGAGAGAAGCGAAAATGCTGAAAAATATAGAGAATAATGAGAATAATTGTTGGAAGTGACATAAGTGTCAAAGATGTCTCTGGGGTGTCCGGATGCCCTTGAAAGCATTTGAGCTCCCATATTTATAGTTGATGAGGTCCTCAAATTGTTTCTCATTCTTCTGAGTGATTTGGCCTTCAATTCGTGATATTTGTTTCCTTTTCTAGCAACATTTGACTTTCCTTTGCAGATTCACCTTCCTATGGATCGGTCAAACTTGATTTGTTGTCCATTAGGAGTTGATCACGCCTTTTTTCTTCATGATTTTTGAGGATTTGGTTTCCTTATTTGAAAAGTAATTAAACACGCTCAATGAGTGTGTTTCTTATTGTGTAAGTCAACCATTGACCTTTTTTCTAATTGATTATTCTAGCTTAACTGGCTGATTTCTTCCCTTTTCTGGATGATTTGGTTGACAATTCCTATTTTATGAATGTATTGAGGATATTCTCTCGTTTCTTAGTGCCCAAGGTTGTGCGGTGACTCATGAGGTCGATCGGTGAGACTAGCTCTCCGGTGAGTCAATCTTGCTTGTTCGGGGTGTTACGGTGAATCGTTTAGTGATTTCTGGGAGCCTAAGTTGTCACGTGTACGGAGAGAAATGAGGTGCGAATTTTGACCTAATTGTCATGCCCTTTTATCTGATATATATAGCGATCTCATTGGATGAAAGAACTCTTTATATTATTATTAGGGTCTTTTTATAGTAGGGCCTCCTACTAGCGGTGTACATTTTTCATTGTTGAATTTAGTTAAAATCACATAAAACAACAAAAAAAGGAGAAAATATAGCTTTTGATACATATCTGATGGTTAAAAATAGTGACATGTCGGTAGTTATTTTTTTCAAGTCATATCGTAAAAATCTATCATTTGGTAGACATTGAAAAAAGAACTATTGAAAAGACTGTTTTCAGCTGTCATATTTATATTAAAAACTGGTTTAACTGGATATATTTTTAATATGATTTGATTTTGGCAACTTCTCCACTATTTTATTTATTTTTTGCTAGAAAGCAACCCCAAAACGGCAAAACCAGTTGGCAGTAGCAACTTTTGAAATCCCTATGGCTAGAGTGCTTTAAACAAAGGATGCTACATATATTCTGTGAGCATTGGCCAACAGATACATACGATACGATTCCATAGTGGTGCAGATAGAATATTCTAAAGAAATCGGGTAAAGACGCGGATAAGCAGCAAAGATGCATACGGTACGATTCCCTGAAATAATTGCTTTTATTATTTATTAAATAAATTAAAGTAGATGCAACCTACAGATACACGTGTCTTGTTGACGATATCTTTGCCAAGACATTCGTTTTTGTCTCGAACTTTGTCATGGAAGCACTTGTTTGTTTCATCCGCTGAGAGGAATTTTTAATATATATATATATATATATATATATATATATTTATTTGATACAAATACAATTATAATCAATTTCAAATCAAAGACAAGATAAGAAGAAGCACTTTACTTTGTGCTTCTGAAGAGTTCCAGGTCATGTATGACTCATCACCACATGATCATAATTAATAAACTTTTTCTCAAAAGACAAGAAGATTATAGTAAGTTTTTGACTACTTATTGCCAAGCAACGACTTACTAAAACTTATATTACGTCAACAATGCTTATTATAGCACAATTGAATTGTATTAATTAAACCATGTTTCTAAATGATGAATCCAAACAAAATCAAATAAAAAAGTAAAAAAAATTAAACTAATGGAGAATCTGACGATTCAAATTAACGGAGCTAGCCGTATGATAAACTGTTTTTCATAACACAATGTTAAATCCATGAAAAGTTTTTGTCCAAAAAAGATAGAGAGGTAGAATTAGTGATCACATGAATAACTTCTACCCCAGTTAACATATCAATGATGTGTTTTGCTGATTTATTTTTACTAGAAGTTTATTTACACAAGTATATACATATATTAATGAGTTTTTAATGGATGCATTTGCATAAGTGGTTACATCAAATATAAAAATTTAGTAATATGATGTGATAAAAATCAAATCTAATTAATTACATAAATTTATTTAGTCAATTATTTAATCTATTCCAATGACGACTAAATCAATGATATTCATTAATAGGTAAATATATTGTAATAATCATTAAAATCAGTCCTACTTCTAATTTTTAATATTATAGTGTGGTTTTAATGGTTACTTCAATATTTAACTATCATTGAGTTTTATAGTTTTAATTGTATTATAATATTTACCCATCGGTGGATACTATGATGTAATGGAATGTGTTGTTTGTTTCAACAATCCGAACAAAAAAATTCAATTCGGATTGTAGTTGAAGGTTCAAATTGATGTTTGGTAGAGAATTAAATGTGGACAATTTAAACAATTAACAATAGTTTAAACTCTTGATTTTAGAATTGACTTCCCCCATCCCCAACCCCCCCAATTCACAGCCCAAATTGTTTTCTACAGTGAATGCAATTTGGATTTTTACTTTTTCTCTCTCCTCAACTTTAAGCTTAAAAATGTCACAACTTCTTCGTTTCAAAATAATTTTAGGAGTTTTTTTTTTTTTTTTTTTTTTTTTTCAATTTATTCATAATGAACAAATCCTTATCCACATTGCATATATATTTTTTTAATGTCATTTATAATGACGTTTTATAAGATTTGTTAAAAAACTTTAACGATAGTTCCAAACACAGTTCAGATTTTATTCTCAATTCAAATTACAATTTATTTACGTATCTAAATACCGGTTCGAACCGCAATTCAAATCATCACAATTAACACCAAATCAAACAATCCTAACGACAAATTAAACAGGGCCTAAGTTTTTAATATGATATATTCCTTCTTTAGGAAGGCCATGTACAACGTAAGTTGAGTTTTGAGCAATTACAGAAAAGAAAAAGACTTTTACCAGAAAGGACATGGTTATTCCTTTTCTTTATTGTTCTAGATCAGGAGTTAAAAATGTGATTTTTTCCTAAGATAAAAATATGATCATATATATCCAAAACTAGTGGGGCTAGAGAGAATAAAAGATGATACCAAGCTTAATGTCGATTGAAAAAGAAAAGGAATTCAGAAAACCTATTTAATCCAGATATTCAATCACATGGTCGCATCACCTTTTACTGCAGCAACTATAGTACCAAAATTCAATGGACAGAGACATTTTTTCTTCAAAGTTATTATGAGGCATCCGGATGATCGGTTACATACACGGATAGCCATCAATATCCTCAGAAACACCCGGGACAATTACTAATAATTTTGTTGCACCGTAAAGCTAACTAAATCCAGTTTTGACAATCGCAGAATGGTCGGATTTGAATTTGTTGTTCAATTTTATTATCTTAATTGGTGTTTAGGCAATCAAATTATGTCACATCTTGTAAAAAATTAAGATTGCTTTTCAACTCACTTTTTAATACTTATCATAAGATGATGTGGTATGATTTAATTAATTAGACACTAATTAAAACACTAAAAATTAAACAATAGATTCGAATCAAAATGGTCAAACAAACAGATATATACAGATTCAGCGGTATCCCCACATGCCAATTATGCTGACCCCAGCATCAATCACCTTTGGAAAAACTTATCATTATATCCAAATGTGTACTTTTCCCAATTAAGCATCTCCATATTTCTTTCCTTATATAATCCCCACATGTGTAGTGTATCCATCATCCCATTATTTGGCAAAAATAACACCACTTTTCCTTAAGTTTGCCAAATGGCCAACCCCCATCACGGAAACCAAGAACATCCCTCAAATGGTCTCAACATTATTAATCCATCCCATGATCATGAAGTGGTGGTTGTCATGGTGCCCTTGCCGGCTCAAGGCCATATCAACCAGCTCCTCCACCTCTCCCGCCTTATCGCCGCCTACAACATCCCCGTCTACTATGTCGGTGCCGCGGCACACAACCGCCAGGCCACGCTTCGAGTCCAAGGCTGGAACCCCAATTCCATAAAAAACATACACTTCCTTGACTTCCTCGTCCCTCCTTTCAACTCTCCTCCTCCAAACCCTAATTCCCAGGACAAGTTCCCTTCCCATCTCCTCCCTTCCTTCCGCGCTGCCCGCCATCTCCGCCACCCAGTCACGGCGCTCCTGCGGCGACTCTCCGAAAAAGCGAGAAGGATAATCATCATCCATGACTCTCTAATGGCCTCCGTCGTCCAAGACGCCGCTTTGATACCGAACACCGAGTCCTTCACCTTCCACAGCATTTCGGCGTTCGCGATCTTTTTGTTCTATTGGGACGGAATGAAAAAGGTACAGCTAGAAGTTGACGCCAAGAATATTATTCCGAAAGACGTTCCATCTCTTGAAGGGTGTTTGACTTCCGAGATGATGGATTTTATTGCTGCGCAATATGAGTTCAACAAGTATAATTCCGGGAATCTCTACAATACTAGTAGGGTTATGGAAAGGCCTTACATGGATTTACTTGTAAGGATTCTTCCAAACAAGAAGCACTGGGCACTCGGGCCTTTCAATCCGGTGGAATTAGTTGAGAAGAAAGTGTCAAACGACAAACACATGTGCTTGGAGTGGCTCGACAAGCAGGCACCGAATTCGGTGATTTACGTGTCGTTTGGGACGACGACGACATTCACAGAAGAACAAATCCAAGAATTGGCTTTAGGATTGGAACAAAGTGGGCAAAAATTCATGTGGGTGCTAAGATATGCAGACAAAGGAGTCGTTTTTGACGACGAAGTAATCAGGAAGGTTGAGCTTCCAAAAGGGTATGAGGAGAGTGTGAGAAATAAGGGAATTGTTGTGAGAGACTGGGCGCCCCAATTGGAAATTTTGGGGCACCCCTCAACAGGTGGGTTCTTGAGTCACTGTGGATGGAACTCTTGCATTGAGAGCATCACCATGGGAGTGCCCATTGGGGCGTGGCCAATGCACTCCGACCAGCCGAGAAACACCGTTTTGGTGACGGAGTTGCTCGGAGTTGGCACCGTCGTGAGGGACTGGAACCGCCGCAATGAGGTGGCGACGGCGGCTGCGGTTGTGGAGGGTGTGAGGAAGTTGATGGAATCGAAGGAAGGAGAGCATATGAGGAAGAGGGCGGCGGAATTGGGTTCCGCCGTGCGGCAGTCGGCTGCGGCAGAAGATGGGGCTTCCCGGAAGGAGTTGGATGCTTTCATTGCTCATATTTCTAGATAATTAATATAGATTGCTAAGTTATATATGATTTTTAATTAATAATGAAAGCTAGATTTAGTATTACCTAAAAAATGTACTAAATCTGAAATGAGGACTACATATATTTTTGTTTTCCTATACTTTATACTGATACTTTTTATGGTAAAATATATTTTCACTGTTGATGCAGGTCCATGTTTTTAAACTATAGATTTGATTGCTTAGCGCGCACAAAAAAAAAAAAAAAAAAAAAAAAAAAAAAAAAAAAAAAAAAACCTATCGAATTGATTATGACTGTTTTGTTAAAATAATAAGAGTGGTTAACATAGATATTTCACTTCAAAACAAAGTCTATCCATAGGATTCCTTTTTACCTACAATAAAATTCTCAATATATAAATATACATATTTGTATATTTGAGATGTAAGTCTTGGAATGAGGAACTTATATATTGAACAACATCCAATAATATAAACGATATCACGTAATATATTCCGGAGAGGAACATAAATTACTAAAATAAAATATAACGTAGTCATGTAAAACACCGGTGTCATAATTAAAGTGTAATTTACTAAAATTAATAAAAGCTTGGAGTCCATTATATAAAAAAAGTTTGAAGTTCATTACATAGAAAAAATTGAATAATTTAAGATGCAATAATACAGTTTACTCTCATGAAAAAAAGAATATTTGAGCGTTTAATGAAGAAAAAAACAAAAAACAAAAACAAAACGTCAACAACAACTCAACTCCAACTCGAAAGAAATTTTCATTATAGTAAAAAGAAGCTCTTTTTGTCAAAAAAATATCCTTAGATGTAAAAGATCTCTTAAAATTTAAGAAACATTCATATTAAATCAATAAATTAATAAATTCATATTAAATCACCAAGAATCATGATTCCAATATGGCTGCGTGGAAAGGCGGAATTTTTCATAGATAACCATTAAGTTGAAAAAAAAAAGAATAATTATAATTAATATTAACAAAACAAATCTTTGCAAGGAATTCTTTGATAGGATAATAAATATCTATCGATTATGAACTATCATTTTGTCATTAAGTTTTGTTAACCTGATATATATATATATATATATATATATAATATTTATAATGTGCAATGGAAACATCATTCAACTTCATTCAACTTCATTCAACTTCATTCAACTACTACATATCACCAAGAACAGAAGAGGCAACAAAAAGTGGGATTGCCTGCATACCCCAAAGTTTATTTGAAATTTAACGAGAGATAATACTGTAACAAAAATTTGAGTTGTAATTTGAACTAATTAAATAAATCAGATAACAAAAAGGTGGGCTACCTTAGTTCCATTCCGAGAAGTAGCAAGTGACCACTCTATGTCTTTAATCACGAAACAATTATCAAATAAATTACATGACCCCATTATGAACTGTATTGACCACATTAATAGCATCAACCTCCATACTGCGCGCAGGGCAAGAGCCTCAGCCACATGCAGCTTGCATGACCATTCCATTAATAGCATCAACCTCCATATTGATGAAAACATAAACTGATATATATATATATTTTAATAAGTTTTGATTCTAACGTAATTCGACGAACGATGTCAATTATATCTGATCAATGGTTTTTTTCTATTTATATTTTCTTACAAAATTCTCTTAAAAACCTAGCTGCAACGAGAATACAATTCTCAAGCGTCAGATATTTATCAAAAATTTTAAAAACTGTTGATTTTCTAATTTTTATATAATATTGGTACAATTTCATATTTTTGTAACTGTGTCTTGATGATCAGGTGGTTTTTCATTTAACGTGTTTCCATTTAGGAAAATAAATTAGTGGAGAAAAAAATTAATTTGGTTAAGAGTACGGATGTGTGATGGAAAAAAATTTCAAGAATCCATCCTCTCACCTACTGTAGCCTGAAAGCATATAATCTTGACCGTAGTAGCCCAAAACGCTCAAAAAGCTTAAAGCCCAAGTTCTAGAATCTTCCACTGGCCTACAAACACCCACCTATATTAATAGAGAATTTCATGCTTAACCCCACAATCACCGAACCTCCTAATTTTACTCTTTAAAAAACTCTATTCTTTTTATTTATATGAGATATTTTTATCACAAATTAAAAAGATTAATAGAATGTATATTTTAAGAGTTCGTCCTTAATTTTAAATCATAATTTTTAATTTTTTACAGTATTTTTCACTTATAAAAAATTTAAATTTTAAAGTTGAGGGTATCATCTATTATGCATGAGTTTAGTAAAGATTTCTTCTAGTTTTTTAGTTTAGTTTTTCTCTAGTGATTGTGTTTCTTTGATTTGAAGTTTATATATTTAAAAATTTAGTTGATTATTCAATGTTTCTTTTGTGTTTGAATTTTTTAATTTGATTATTGTTGCTTTAACCTAGTGATATTTGTTTAAAAAACCACATAATGTAGCAGATTATGCTTAATAATTTGGCAGGTTATGAAGCATAATCTATTAAGTTATAAACATAATTGTACAGTATATGAATAATAAATTGGCTGGTTATGGATCATAATCTCATAAATTGACAAATTCTGAAGCATAAGTTGTCAGGTTATGAAGCATAAATTGACAGTCTATGGATCAAAACCTGTCTTACTATGACGTCAGTGACCGGAGGTCGGCAACCGATGTAATCTATCAGGTTATAGAACATAATCTGATACACTATGGTCGGCATCGACGACCGGCGATCGGCATAATCTATTAGGTTATGAATCATAACCTTATAGACTATGGTCGGCACTGGTGTAATCTGTTAGGTTATGGATCATAACTTGTCAACTTATAGCTGCAGACCTGGCGTGATTGGTGTAATTTGTCAAATTATGAAACATAACCTGTCAGGTTATGGTCAGCCAGTCGGAGACCTGCCGACAGACCGCCAGTTGGCGACGGGAGACCACCATCATATCTTATAATTTATCAATGGACCATTGAAGGTAACTTTAGAATTTTAAAAATGTTTAATTTAACTATTTTTATTATTTTAATTGTAAAAAGGTAGAAATCAATGAGCTAATTTTTAGGGATTAAAAATAGTTTGGGATACCCATTTGGGGGGCATTTCTCTTGTTTTCTCTATAGATAAAGAGAGTCACAAGTTAGAAGTCAGGTTATGTCGGTTGAGATTAGTAATTGTATGTATTTTGGTGATGTTTAGTGGCTTGTATTGTATCATATTGTATAAAGTATATTATATTGTGTTGTATTATCATTGTGCAATAAGGTGTTTGGTGTCATGATGTATTGTACAATGGGTTAAAATGTAAAATTTTAAAATTTTGAGGCCAAAATGTAATTTTATAAAATTGAGAAGTCAAAATATAATATTGTGCTGCCTCAATTTTAAACAATTATAAGTTTCGGCATGAACTTATGTCAGCCCAACCCTAACCCTAGTCGTATGCAATCCTAACATGATTTATGAATCTGCTATAAAATATTGTAATACAATACACAAAAAATAAGCCGTATTTAAAAATACGACATAAAGACTGTATTAATTTATTATTCATATTAGTTTATATAATACGATAATCACAATAAATATTGTATAAATATATTATTATATTATACAGTACGGTCAAATAAACGTATATATCACTTTTTATGAAATTATGAAAAATAAAATTTATGCATTTTGTTAAATTATATAAAATATATTGTTCTCTGTTATATAATAAAAGTGTCTTAAAGTAAGCTGGTGTCTTTGAATTTTTTTTCCATTTTTCCCCTCCTTCTATTTTTCCTTGTCTTTGTTGTTGTTTGTTTGTTTGTTTTTTTTTTTTTTTTTTTTTTTTTTTTTTTTTTTTTTTTTTTGCTTTGTTCGTCTGCTTCCTTAGCTATCATTTGGTAGTCAAATTCTTGGCATGCAATAATGAATCTAATTGAGTATTGTAATCAATTACTTTTAGAGGTACAATTTTCCAGGATGAATATTCTGTGTGATTTAGGGTGGTAACTCTTGTAGACTTTTCTTGAATTGAGATAAAAGATTAGGGATAAAAATTCCAATACAAAGCTTTAACGCAATTGCACTGAACTCCGGTTTTTATTTATTTTGTTCTTGTGGTTTTCTGTGTTTCACTTAGCATTGCTGACTAATTGTCTTGTTTAATCTTTGTCTCCTATTCAGAATGTTGATTTAGTATTGGATTAAATTCTGCTCAAACAAATATAATATAGAATAATCTTATCTAGATGGTAATAATGTTGATATAGAGACGCTAATGTATTAAGAATACATTAAACAAGGAGAAGATCTTAAATTGTCATTTTATTTAATTGTTGACTATTGATTGATTTATCTTAATTCTGAGTGATTAATGGACTCACATCCATTATTGTGTCTTTTGATTTGATAATGAGCGAGATTAGTTAGAGTTTATAAAAAGCTCGATAAGTTGAGGACACAATATTATGGTTGGATGGAACAGTGTTTCATATACATATAATCCACTGCTTTGTTAAAAAAGAGTGATATTATTTCAATCAGTATTAATGCGGTACTAGAGTAAAAGAGATCTCAAATCTATTTGATATATGCTATGAAATAAGTTCTCTTTCTGCTGTATATATATAGATATATTTATGTTATACAATATATGCGTGTGTCTATTTAACCTCTAATTAATACTAGAGTAAAAGAGATCTCAAATCTATTTGATATATGCTATGAAATTAGTTCTCTTTATGCTGTATATATATATATATATATCTATTTATGTTATACAATATATGCGTGTGTATATTTAACCTCTCCGCTTTTTTATGACAAAGGAAGCCGGCAATTTTGAACGCGGCGCAATGGTTCGATATGAAAATGATACTAATTCACCACAAGAAACATGGCTATTAGCAACGACAAAAAATCATTGCAATAAATATAAAGTCATCGCAAATAAAGTTGTAGCGATCACTTGTCATCGCAATTGATTTGTCGCAAAAAATATTTTTGCGACGACAAGCAGTCGTTGCAATTATATTTGTGACGACAATCATCGCAAATGAGTCGCTGCAATTATCTTATCGGTTACATCGTTAAGATGACATGACATTGAGTTTTTACAACGACATT